AACTTATAAAAATTTCTAGCAAACGGTCGGAAATTCGTGCGCATAAGTTCAACTCCAAATACTCCTTTTTATTGGGCTCTCTGATGTCTTAGCTCTTTGCTAAAGTGGTCAGAAGCGCAAAAAATCGGGGGTTGGGGTTAGTGAAAAGTATCTAGAGGATTTGAAGAAAATGTGTGAAAATGAACAAGATTTTGGTGCTATGTATAGGTTGTTGGGGAGGGAAGCGTGTAGCTCGCTTGACATAGTCGTGTTGTTCCCTTGCCTAGGCGGCAAGTCTTCGATTGTGGTCCTGACACATGGCGTTGTTTGGCTAGTGTTACGTTGCTCATGTCGGGTAAATTCTCGAATCTTCGAAAAGTCACATCTTTCGCAGACAAGCTCTGTTTTTGATGTTCTTTATATCCCTAGTTTCGTATCAACAAGTACTACAACTTTTCTTTAGACTTCTTCAACTAGTATGTGCAGATTACACTGTAAAAACTACTTCATACCAGCTCTTTTATTAACGTCCTTTATAAATGCGGATTTGTATTTACGAGTACTTTAACTCTTGTGTACATTGCTTTGGCTATAAAGAAAACAATCTTCATTCCACTTTTTATGGGATACGTTGTTGTCTCGAGTTGAACGCGAAATTTCGAAAACTATAAATTTCTCATATAAAGTCAAATTTTAATTATTTAGAGTAAATTACCGAAATCGTCCGTGTGGTTTAGTCAAAATTGCACGTTTGGTACCTAACTTCTTTTCTGCACTCGGATCGTCCATGTGGTTTGATTTTGTTGTGTTTTTCGTCCCTATGGTTTGGTAAAAGTTGCATGTTTGGTCCCTAACTTTATGTATGTAAGGGACGAAAAATACAACAAAATCAAACCACAGGGACGATTCGAGTGCAAAAAAAAGTTAGGGATCAAACATGTAATTTTGACTAAACCACTGGAACGATTTCAGTTATTTACTCAATTATTTATTTAGCCCGGTTTGTTAAGTTTTAGGATAAGCTATTTTACAATTATTATATACACATAATATGTGTCTACTCCATACATTATATATATATATATATATATATATATATATATATATATATATATATATATATATATATATATATATATATATATATATATATCACGATTATATAAACACATAATATGTTTGAATAATTATTTATTTCACAAGAAAAATTATATTGTCAATTGGCATAAATAATGATTACTCAAATAAATTCTTAGTGAGAAACGTAGACGTTACAATAGATATGTAAATCTCTTTTAAATTCTCTTTCATTAAGAATTACAGAATCATCATTCTAGGGGAAGTAAACCACTCAAGAATTTCATATTTCTTTTATGTCATAATTGAATAAATAATTCATAAAATCTAAATAAAAATAATCAAGGAAGACCGATTCCATGAAATTTTGCTTGGTCTTTACTAGAAACTTGAGTAAGGAGTATATATTTTTGGAGTTTTCTAGAATTTAACAACGAGAACTGCTTTCTGTTTCTTTTTTCGGTGTACCTACTTAAGTTGGATGAGAGGAAACTATCACGTCTGATCTTGAGGGGGGGGGGGGGGGTATCGTATCCCATTTTTTTTTGCTAGGCCCATAGATAAAGAATGTACTGTTTTACGATTACAAAGTTTATTGGAATATGAAACTCAACCTTGGAAGCACAAGATCCCAATTTTTTTACTACCTGGAGCTTCAATACATTTCGAAATCGAGAGATGTCTACCAGGGTGGTTCTATCATACAACAATTAGCCGATTTAGATTTACAAATCAATATTGACTATTCTTTGGTAGAATGGATAAAATTAGAGGAATAAGAACCCACATGAAATGAATGGGAAGATCGAAAAGTTGGAAGAATAAATGATTTTTTGCTTAGACACATGGAATTAGCTATTACAAAACCGAAAAGGAGGTGACGAAATTGCATATGAAGTAGTCTCGTCTACGGTTTCAATGATTATTTTCTAAAAAATCGAAAATTTTGGCTAATTTTGGTAAAGTTATTTAAACAAAATGGATAGATTTGTAAATGTCTCTAATTTTAAAAGTTTAATTAACAAAAGATATTTAAAACACCATACCCATGAGCTTCACATGCTACACAAGAAACATAATGAAAAGATGGTGGTTGAAGGTTCAAGTAGATAAAATGAAAATAACATCATGTGGTCGTCGATCACATGATGTAGCTCAATGTTTTAAAAATCGGTTAAAACCAATTGATCGAAATGGTTGGATCGGGAGCCAGTTAACAGAGCGGTTCAATTATCACCGGTTATATATATATATATATATATATATATATATATATATATATATATATATATATATATATATATATATATATATATATATATCTATTTTTGAACCGGAATAAACCGGCTAATTTTTACAAAAAACCAGTTAAACCGATTAAATTGAATAAAAACATATTGAAAAGAAAACCATTTGCATAAAAACATATATATATATATATATATATATATATATATAGCCGTTTTAAACATATTTTTGGCCCAAGACGAGAGAGGAAAAAAAGACGCTTAAAATATCCAAATTTCATTAACTTTTTTATAAAGGAAAACTCCAATAAAATCCCTACATATTGGCCTCATAATCGATTTAGCCCTTATATATATTTTTTATTCAATTAAGCCCCCAATACCGGTAATCGTATTCAATTTAACCCTTTGATCCGGTCAACATGTCATCCAACTTTCAAAAATTACATTTTCAGCTCAGATTTCAAAATTTATTACAAATTTGGTCCAAATTTTATATTTTTGGCCCAACTTTTAATTTTTTTTTTACAAATTTGGTCCAAAATTTACACTTTTTTGCCCCAGGTTTTATTATGAATTCATCCTAACTTTAGTTTTTTTTACAACTTTTTTTTCTCAAAAGTTCGTATCTAATATGTTTTTTTTCTTTAAAACTCATATTTATACAAAAAAAAACATATTTTCACATAAAAATCTTATTTTTTCTATATAAAAACTTTTTTTCAAAATTTTTTTGTATATGAAATATCTAATTATAAAAATAGGTTTGGATTATTTGTGAGATTTCTCTTAAAAAATCAATTAAGAAATTAAAAGTAACCCTAAATTATACTATTAAATTATAGTTTGTCAAAAACTAGTTAAACTAGTTACCCTAAATTAAAAGTAACCCTAAGTTATACTATTAATATAGATATTTTAATATGTATTTTATTTAGTGTGTATTTTTTTCTATGAGATTTTAATATAGTTGTTTATATGTATTTTTCAATATGTTGCATTTTCGTAAATTAAATCATACTTTCGATCATATATATATGACAAAAGGTATGTAAAGTTGTTCTAATCTCATATATATTACAATCCATATTGATTTCAGTAAGAGTTATAACTATCAACGTTTGTAACACTTTTTTACATTTGTTAAATGTCATTTTCTGCCAAAAACCTCCTTATCGACAAATGACAATTGTTCCATTCTGGATAGTTATTTTTTGTTATTACAACAAACAAAATTGACACAAGAATCCAATTTTACAAAGAAGCTTAAATAAAGAAATCCAAAGTGATGATAAACTATATGTATGAACATGTATTCAACGAGAAATAAAAAATATAAAGTTTTCAATATGTAGCTTCTTCTCTTACTTTAACTTTTCCTTAAATGTGATTAAAGAACAAATAAATAATATTAAAACGAGTGTAACTAGTTTTTGACAAACTATAATTTAATAGTATAATTTAGGGTTACTTTTAAGTTCTTAATTGATTTTTTAAGAGAAATCACACAAATAATCCAAACCTATTTTTATAATTAGATATTTCATATACAAAAATGTTTTTATATAGAAAAAAATAAGATTTTTATGTGAAAATATGTTTTTTTTGTAAAAATATGAGTTTTAAAGAAAAAACATATTAGAAACAAATTTTTGAGAAAAAAAGTTGTAAAGAAAACTAAAGTTAGGATGAATTCATAATAAAAATCCTAAAATTTGGGCAAAAAGGGTAAATTTTGGACCAAATTTGTAAAAAAAATTTAAAATCTGGGCCAAAAGTGTAAATTTTGGACCAAATTTATAATAAATTTTGAAATCTGGGCCGAAAATGTAATTTTTGAAAGTTAGATGACCTTTTGACCGGGTCAAAGGGTTAAATTGAATACGATTACCGGTATTTAGGACTTAGTGGAATAAAAAAAAATATAAGGGCTAAATCGATTATGAATTGAATATGTAGGGACTTTATAACAATTTTCCCTTTTTATAACTACTCAATAACTAAAAGAAAATTTATACTATCTTCTAACAATTTTTATAAAAGAAATTCATATATTTAAAGAAAAATATTTATTCTAGTTTTTTGAGATACAAAATTATTAATGAAATCTTCAAGATCGGTCTGTCTACCATTTCATTAATAAATTCCATAAAATTTTTGGGCCCATTTGAAAGATGGGTCCTGAACAATCATCCACATCGCCCACCCATCTGCATGTGCATGTTTAGGAAAATAAGGAAACAAATGAAAATTATAGATACTGATCACCATACCGGTTCAATCAAAAAACACTCTGAGACTGGGATAAACCATAACTGTAGAACAGAATAACGGTTACTATATCGGTTCAACTAAAAAACCGATTTTTAAAACATTGAAAGTTAAATTTGGAAGAATGATATGTATAGTTGACAACTTATATGTTTGGTTGTAATATATAAAGTATTCATTTCCCTTTAACTATATAAAAATGAAAATAACATGTATTACTATATGTGTAAGTAGTTTTTACATCACTAATTCGTACATTCATTAAAATGATGAAATAATATGAACATGATCAATATTGCAAAAGGTTTCCAAGATAACATTTCATGTTAATTGGGGACCGAAAGTAAGTTCCTATAAAACTTAGAGACTAACAGCAAGAAGTTTCATAATTTTCCTTGATCATTCTTGCAATTTCTTCATGCAAAAATGGCAAACGAAGGTATTAACCAAGAAAACTATCCCATCAAAACTATCGTGATACTAGTTCAAGAAAATCATTCATTTGATCACATGCTAGGCTGGATGAAATCTCTCAACCCCGAAATCAACGGTGTTACCGGAAAAGAATCCAACCCACTATCCACCACCGATCCAGACTCGACCCGAATATATTACAGCAATGACTCCGACTTCATCCAGCCTGACCCTGGCCACACATACCAAGAGGTTTACGAACAAATCTTTGGTGTACCATGGACAGAAGAATCATCATCATCTGGAATCCCTCCAACCATGGAGGGTTTTGCACAACAAGCTGAAAGCGTAGAGGTAGGGTTATCCAAGGTTGTAATGTCTGGTTTTAAGCCGGATGATGTTCCGGTTCATCAAGAACTGGTGATGGAGTTTGCGGTTTGTGACCGATGGTTTGCTTCGATTCCCGGTGAGACGCAACCAAATAGGTTATATCTTCACTCAGCCACTTCGAATGGTGCGATAAGTAATGATACCTCGAGGCTCATCCAAGGGTTTCCTCAGAAGACCATATTTGAATCGTTGGAGGAAAGCGGTTTATCTTTCGGAATTTATTATCAATACCCTCCCTCAACACTTTTCTATAGGTTTAAAGTTCTTCAACTCTTTCTGATGCCTTTCAATTTGATTACGTGTTGTAGATAATCGGAAAAGACTGATCTTTTCCATCTTTAACCTGTTTATTCTTTCATAGTTTTGTTTCAAACAATCATTATATACATAAATGAAGCAAGCTCACCGTTTGAAAATTGATTGTAGTTTTGTAAATAACAAAGTAACTATGTTTTTAACCCTTGTTGAATAATTGGCAGGAATCTAAGACAACTGAAGTACATCGACAACTTTCATCAGTTTGATCTCAGTTTTAAACAAGATTGCGAGGATGGAACGTTACCGAATTATGTTGTTATAGAACAAAGATATTTTGACCTTCAAATATTGCCAGGAAACGATGATCACCCTTCTCACGACATCTCAGAAGGCCAAAAGTTAATAAAAGAAGTCTACGAAGCATTGAGATCGAGTCCCCAGTGGAATGAAATCTTGTTTCTAGTGACATATGATGAACATGGTGGTTTTTACGATCATGTCCCCACCCCTGTCACTGATGTCCCGAGCCCTGATGGCATTGCGAGTCCTGCACCGTATAACTTTCAATTCGACCGTCTTGGAGTCAGGGTTCCGACTATTTTGATTTCTCCTTGGATCGAAAGGGGAACCGGTATGTGATTTTTTGTTATCAGAAAATTATTAGCATCTTTTTCATGCAAAGAGGAAACGTTTCTACTTGATTAAGTTGTGTTATTCATTTATCATCCTAGATGATTCTTTTCTTTATTCTAACTTAACATGTAAAGTATTCGTGTGAGAAATAACGGAAGTAAGCAACACTGAAATTTTCAAGAAATCACAACGGATTTAAAAGAAAAAATGAAAATGTTTTAAAGGCTAATAAATAATCTGAAGCTAAATTTGATAGTTATTAACAACTTTCAGAATATTAAAATATAATCAATTTGCTGAATAAGTATCTATTTAATCATGTATTTTACATTTAGGATGTGATTGGCAATGAACTTTTGAGACCTTTAAGGAGTTTGGGCTTTCAGTTTTTTTCTTTTTTTATATATATATATAAAAAACTCCAATTAATGAAAAAGTTTGTTTTACTTAAAGTTTTATATATTAGAAGACAACTACTCGTAATCTAAAAAATATTTCAAGTATTGTTTAGTGAAAAATACTTGTCTATAACGAATGTTTCAAACAGGCCGGTTCTAAAAAAAATTAAATATTTTTAAAGGTTATGGATTAACAAAAAGAAAAAGACTCTTATCTTTATTATAATTATATATTTTTAAATAAAAATATATAAAAAAAAAAAATTAAACCTTGTGCAGCTGCTCACTTTGTCCCTTCAACGCCCTGGTTTCAAATTTGAGTTTTTATTTAGAGGTTCTAATGTAAATTTGCATATTTCCAAACACTTTTATATAAAGGACACCTACGCCTCCTAGCTCCAAATAAAAGGTACAAACTACTAACTATCAATTTTCCCCAAACATACCTTCAAATTAAAACCAAGTATTCAAAATTCGGAAATGGACCATAACTTGAGGAAACTCAAATTTATGGGTTTAAAGTGGCAATCGAGCTGAAAGCTTTCCGTCCATATTAAATGGGCCTAAAATCTTTTGACGAATCAAAATTTATTTTTGTGTAAAGTTGAACTTCTTTCCGGGTCTTTTTTTTATTCTTTCATGCATTTATCCACAAATGCTTTAAAAATAAATTGGAATTTATTTTTGTAAATTAGGCATAAAAATAATGAACCTATCAATTGCTACAATATTTCAACGTACGTAATTAGTAATAAATTTATTTGGACATTGAATACTTGGTAATAAATTTATTACGGACCAATCATTTTAATTTCTCTAATAAAAACCATCAAATGAATATACTTTAAGATAATTATTTATTTTTAACCTCATTAATCTGGTTTTTTTTTTAATAATGGAAGGTGCACCAGTAGGTATCAAACCAAATTTCACAACCAGTGGCGGACGTAGAACATTTTCGTTGGGGTTGCACTAATTTTTTTTTTCCAAATAAATCTATATTAGTAGTGTCACTCGTGTTTTAAGTCGGTGCATCTAATAGAAAAAACATTAAAAAAACATTAAATTTCTTTTTTGGAGCAGTGGCCCGGGACCCCTGGGACACCACTATGATCCGCCACTGTTCACAACCCAATCCCGAAACCACTACCGATGATTTTTGGAATGTTGGAACCAAGTCCAAATCATGAACAAAATGATTTTTTGGATTTTGAACAGGTGATAAAATCAACCAGAGTTAATTCCAATAGTGATTACCTGTTTATAAATTTTAGAACTAATAATTAGTTAAACATTAGCTAGAAAGAAACCTAAGAAATAAGTGTTTAGTATGTCTACAAGGCACCCTTAAATTTATAAAGAGTAACTATTGGCTTTGTTTCCTTAAATTTACAAAGAAAAACTACTTTTGATGTAGGATAAATTGTTTTTGAGACTTCATTTTTTCACACATCCCATATCGGCAAGAGATTTGGAATGAATGAAGTAACAAAACTTATAAAGAAGAGTGAGAGCAAGACTTAACAGTTTACACCCAACACCATTTTAGACTTTTTATCTAAAATGAAGAAACTTGAAAATTTAAAAGATTAAATTACAATTAATGGGTACACAAAAGGTATCAATCCAAAATAACATAGGTCCTATAAAGCTTGTCATCGAGCTTTATATTCAAATGTTCTCAACTCAGCTTAAATCTTAGTTGATATTTACAAACTAATTTGATTTAGATATTTTGGATGACCCAAATTAAATAGAGAATATATTTTAAATGTAAAAAATGTATATAGATGGTTGTTTTCATGATCGGTAAAGTTTCAAAATGTTCATATCATAACAATTTTTTTATATTTCAACAAAACACATCTTTTGTATCACCACATAATTTTAGTATGGCGTATGGATATATATACACCTAACTTCAATACAAGCAAAGTAATAAAAGAAAATACATCGTCATCCATCTACGATTTTTCACATGGTTAAAAACTAAACATCAATTTTGTTGTTAATGGTATGCAGTGTTGCATGGGCCTTCAGGACCTTACCCGAGTTCACAATTTGAACATTCTTCCATTCCAGCGACTGTAAAGAAGCTCTTCAACCTAAAAGATTTTTTGACAAAACGAGACGAGTGGGCAGGAACTTTTGAAGGCATTCTCACTAGAGCCACTCCTAGAACAGATTGTCCAGGTACACTTAAGTGACATGATATTTTAGATTTATTTCACGAATTAAACCTACCAATTCTTGAGTGTCCTATCCATTAATTAGCTATATGACTTAATATATTTCTGTTTTATGTACTGGATATGCCTCTTAGCATAGATCATATTGGACTAGTTAGCCAAATGTTTCAAACACCATATAGTTCAATGTATATGTAAATTTATGTTTCTGATAACAGTTAGCTTACCTGAGCCTGAGAAAATGAGAGATGGTGAAGCAAACGAAGATGCCAAACTAACCGAATTTCAAGTGGAACTTGTACAGTTATGTGCAGTGTTAAAAGGGGACTATAAAGATGGCATTAGTCTTGAGAAGTTAGTAGAGAATATGAAGGTTAAGGATGCAACGGGATATATGGAGGTTGCATTCAAACAATTCTGTGATGACTGTAGAAAAGCTAAGGAAAAGGGGAAAGATGACTCGTATATAGTATGTGATAAAGAGTTATCGTCTTGTCTAATATGCACAAAACAGTTTGTCGGGAAGATATGTTCATGTTTTCTTTGTGAGAATTGAATTATTTGCAATAGTTTACTTTTTCAAAGTGGATATGGATTCTTAATATATATGATATATACAAGTTAATTTGGTGGGCAATTATGTACTCTCAATTCAATTTGGTGGACGTTTATGTCACTTTCTCACGTATGTGTGGGATGGTTTAAAATTCATTTATTCTCTTAAGCAATCATTTCAATCAACTTACTTTTAATGATTAATATTTTCCGTTTTGGACGTTTAATAATATACAAAAACTAAGGTCTCAAGGAGAAGAGCATACATACATTACGTCACAATAGGTATTTTTATATGATTCAAAGAATGTTTTATTTTTCGAAATACTCGTTAACATATTCTTGCAGAATGAACAAATTAAATGAATTATTATTATTTCATAAAATCATTTATTTAAATTAAAAGAATCATTTATCCCTTAAAATTCAGAATTTTCTTTTTTAAGTCTAACTTAATTGACTAAAATGCTCTTACAAGGATATTAGTGTTATTATATTCTATATGCTCTTCTATTGTAATAGTATCACTACAAGAATTTCGGGCTACAGCGGCCACAATAGTCGCCAATAAAGAGTAAGCTAATCGTTGGTAAAGGCAATAGCGGCGACACGTCGCCGGTAAAAAGTTGTTGCTACTGCTCTATCGCTATTGATCATATTGTCACCACTAAAGAGATTTATCGCCGCTAATGATACAATCGCCGATAGTACTTAGTGTCACCGCTAATGATATAGTCGCTGCTAATACTGTCGTCGCTGGAAAGTACCATAACACCTTATGAGCTACTTTCTTACCCTTGATGTTTTTATCGATCCATCGACTCTCTTTACAAACGGGACAAACTTGCATTGAATCATGTTATTTCCAAAAGAGAAAACAATCATTTTGCACATATGTATCGACTCATACCCTGGACCAATTGATTCCAATTTCTTTTTGGCTAGATAATGTGAAATGGAAACCTTGTTGCCTTCGGAAATGCTGATTGCAACAACTCAAGGAGTTGATCAAATGAACTATCATGTCATTTGTTGTTCACCTTGATATGCATTAACTTTGCTAAAACTCAAGGAAAGAAAATGTGCAACCAGGACATAATTTAGTTTCAACTTCTTCTAACAATTATACAAAATCATCATCCACACTGCTACCCCTTGTATTTGAGATTCCTTTATCGAGGTTGGTATCATTTTCTCTCGACTCCCACATCACATCGTCAATTAAATCGGTCATTTCGTTACTTGGCAAGACGAATGGAGGAATTAAAGATTCACCATGATAGATCCAAATTGTATATGACTTACTAAAACCATTTATAAATATATAACATTCCACTGCAGTCGGGTACTTGAAGTAATGGTTATCACATTTTTGACACGTACATCTCGATAAAAGCTTTGAGTCCTGTTTGGAACTTGGGACTGTTTTGTTGTGGATTACTAGTCTAACTTTTATCAAACGACATGATGTTGCTAAAACATAATTTTGTTTAGAGTTTAGCCTATGGAATTAGCATCGTTTCTTTTACAATCCACATTGTTTTTTTTACAAAAATTAACATCCTACTTTATTTGTAACATTGTATTTTTATAGCATCTTACTATTGTACCTTTCTATATATATATTTTTTTATTTATAACATTTTTTTTTCAGTTATAGCATTGTACTTTAAACAATTATATTATGTTGTTGTTTTCTATTGTAGTGGTTTACCTTATATTTTCGAAGACATGCATCTTACAATTATATATATATATATATATATATATATATATATATATATATATATATATATATATATATATATATCCAATTATAACATTGTATTTTAAACAATTTTATAACATTTTTTTTTGTTTTTTTTTCCAATTATAGTATCCTACTTAATACCAAAACCATATACTTTCATATTATACATAAGAGCACCAAATACACATACTTTCACATACATATATCATATATACACCAAATACACATACATTCACATACATACATAATAACATCCTACTTATACCAAATACATGTATACTTTCATACATAATAACATCCTACTTATACCAAAATACATATATACTTTTACATATACAGATAATAACATCTTACTTATATCAAATATACAAATTTCACCTTCATACATCACATATACACCAAACACACATAATTCACATACATACATAATAACATCCTACTTATACCAAAATAGACACATACTTTCACATATATAGATAATAACATTCTACTTATACCAAATACACATATTTCACATTCATATACCACATATACACCAAACACACATACATTGACATATATACACCAAATTTACATAGATTCACATACATATATCAAACATATGCCAATTTTCACATAATTTATACAACTACACATAATTTATATTAAACTCAAATTTCACAATAAATAGAAGTAAATAGAACATGTGATGTTGGAAATTACTCAATGTCACCGGAAAAATTGGTCCTCACCGGAAAATACTCTCACGAGCTGGTAGTCTCAGTAAACCTACGAGGGTGACCAAGACAAAATGACCAAAATAAACTAAAATTGAAAATCATTTTGCAATTAATCATCAAATAGAGCTAGAAATCGATGTTATAAGAGAAAGATAAAGAGAAATCAAAAGTTGAAGTTACCTTTTACCTGAGATTTCGTTCGAGTTGAACCTGTTTTCGCCGGAGAAATTAAAGCCCTAAATCCCTTTGATCGGTAATCTCACAATGTTGGGGAGACTCTTTGTCGGAATCGATGATAATACACAGAAAATAGGGGAAGCATGAAGATAGCAAGATGAACACAGGAAGGAAAAGTGAAGTATGCGTCATTTTTTTCTTTTTATATGTGCAGGCCTTTAGTGGCGACACTTAAGGATTTACCGGTGACAACCAGTAACAACGGCAACTATTGGAAGGAAAGGTACCACGTCTTTTTTTATTCCACAATTTCCGGTGACAATTTCGATCTTTAGTGGTGACAAATTGTTGTCGGTATTGGTTTTGTGCGAAATAGAGGCCCCAACCGTTGGATTAGATACTCGATCGGACGACTGAGGTCTACTAGAAGGGGATAATGCGGATTCGGGCAACAATCATTTAGCGTCGACAAAGTGTTGTGTCGCCACTAAAGCCTTGAATTCTTGTAGTGTATAGACATTTATTATTTTCATCCATTGTTTTAGAATTTTTCTTATGACCAAATAGTAGATGTCATCTACATCATAACCTAACCATATATATATATATATATATATATATATATATATATATATATATATATATATATATATATATATATATAGAGAGAGAGAGAGAGAGAGAGAAAGAGGTTCATGTGTTTAAAGTAAGTATTGTGTTATTGTATGCATAAATGTGGGTCAATCATTTCAAAAACTTAGATAATGATATATAATCTTACCTATTAATTAATTTTGTTAATTAAATAAAAATTTAATTGATCCCTAAAATATTGGATTGCTTTCCTTTAAATCCCTTGAAAGTATTACTGCTTCTTTATCACCGATCTATCCCTACTTTTTCAACCTAACCGATGCCGATGATTGAAGAAGATAAGAGGCTGGAGCTTTTCCGTTCGCCAACCAACACCATCAACCACCATCACCGCCGAACTCACTAGAATTTGCAAGTTAAGAAGCGAAAGTCAGGGGAAATCGGTTTCGCTTTATAAGACTTTCGTTCGTGTTCAAACTTTATATTCTGATTTCGTTTGTTGATTATGATTTGCACTTGGAATCAAATTCGCACAAGCCACTTTCGTTCGGAGATCAGTAGCACACTTGGAACGATGTCTAATTTTTAGAATCATAGTTCTTGACTCGATTTTGAAATCACATTAACCCTAAAACAGAAATCGATCGTATCAGCCTTCAGCGATTTCGAATATTACTAACTTGGGATTGAATGTTGCAACTAAAATCATTTAGAAGCAAAAATCGGTATTATCGTTCACTGTTCGAGCATCATATGATAGAAAATTGGTTTGTGTATTGCAAGCTTCATTGGAAGTCGATATCATATCTTCAAAATCCGGATCAATCACGATCGGAATTGAATTTAGAACATACATCGGGTTTAATGGATGTCAATAGGAATTCATGATAGATGTGAAGTGGTTCAATTTTTACTTTTCCTAAGTCAAACGGGGTATTCTTGTGTTCCAACTTCAAGGTTGGGATTTCAGTGTTTTTGGAAGATGGTATTTAGATGCTTGTTTATGCTAGGAAATATGATTTTATTTGCAATTGGTTATGTAAGATACGAATTCCAATTCTGTTGGAATGAAATCACGAATTCCAATTCTGTTGGAATTACAGAAGTTGATGCTTGAAGAATAGACCACAAAATTGAAACATACCACATTTATGCATACAATAACACAAAAATGATTGAGCCAAATATATATATATATATTTACTATCTTATAAAAGAAATCATACTATTTTTAAAAATAGATTGAATATAATAATATTATTTTTTAAGATGTTCAACTATTTAAGCTTAAGTACAATAACCCATCATTAAAATAATAATATTTTGAAGTCTTACCATTGATAAAACTACATGTACAATTCCAAAATACACAATCTAACCGGAATATCTCTACTTAGGTGCTATCAGTCAACATTGAATCCGGACACCTCCGAAAAATGAGCCGATTTTGGCCCACCTTCCCCAGCTATCAAATTCAAAGCTTTTCAAAGACGCTCTCATACCTAAAAATCCATTTCAAGTTTTGCTCTCTTATCGTCTTTATAAACCCATCGAGATGCAAGGGGAAGGCATCCTACCCCCGCATCATCCATTTATCTAGGGCGGGCGGCGTGAACTCTAATTCGATACGGGTATTACGCAAACCCAACATCACCCTTCGTAAACCAACACCATAAATCCATTACTACTCCCATCGCATCACCAACTCACCTGTAGAAACCTTATCCTTTACTACTGGCGCACCTCCGGAAATCCTAATAACGAACCACCAAATGCATCGTCTCTATGTCTTCATGTTTGAATTCTGATCAGAGATGCATCACTCCTTCACTCCCTCATCACCAAGGTCTATCTCTCTATCTATCTGTGTGTGTGTGTGTGTGGTGAACTTTAAATCACAGGAAAACGAACTGTAATTTTTTCTATGTATAATCTAAATCATGTGGTTAACAATTTTACACGTGTT